ACTTCTATTTCTGTGTTATGGTGAGCCTGGCAGTTTTGGATTTGTTGAGTAAAGCAATTTAGGAATTGCTTCCTGCAGATGGAGATGCATTTTAGAGTGAATCACTGGAGCTTTAAGAATAACAAAGTGCTGTAAAAGAAACTTACACTGATGCCCTGAATAGCGAAATCTTATCTAGCCCATCTGATGCAGCAATTGAGGGGAAACAAACTAATTGAAACTACTGAAACAGCAGGAAGGGTTGACTAATCGTTTTTTCTTTTATCTATCTATTTAAGGTGAAGGAAACCTGTCACATCTAATAGAGTGTCTAGGAAGGTGTTAATGAGGTAGAAGTGCCTTTGGAAGCTGTCCCTTCCCACCCACCATGAGGTCCTAACGCTGAGATGCTGGCCTCCAGCAGGAACACTTGAGGACAGGCCATCGTGCGTGCTTTTCAAAGAAATGGCACTGGTTCATCTTAGTGTCACGTCAAACAATCTCGAGAAAGATTTAGGGATTTTTTTCTCCCCCGTGCAAAAAGCTGGAAACTAAAACTTTTAATTGAAAAAGCCTGAAGCCTCTTTCAACCTCTTGTATTTAAAACTCAAATTAACCCTATCAGGATTTAAAAAAAAAAAAAGTCGAAGAAAAGAGAAGTGCATTACGTCAAAGGTGATGATGCAATGATTTATTGGTAGTTATATTTTACAGAAAGGCTGTTTCTGGTTTTCTGAACTTTGCGTCTCAGTTTCATCAACTCAACACAAATACTACAGCTCTAAAATCTTGCCCTAAACACGCATAAATCTGATTGCTAGTGAAATGTTTCGAGGTAATAAAACAGTTTAGAGTAATGTTCCTTCTACTTGATTTAAGAAGAGATCTCTTTATGTGTAAAATACACATTCAGTATAAAAATGTAGAAAGGAGAAATCTGATCTCAGGGCTGTGAACAGGTGCATACAAATAAGTTGCATGACTTGGGTTCAATGAGTTCTGCTTTGTGGACCTCGCATCATCTTCACCTCTGCTCAAGACGCTCCCCAAGCTGTCCTCGCTATAATAGTTGTTTCATATCTACCTCATACATGGCAACGGCACTTATAAGATTAAGAGTACGTATCCAGGAAGTGAAGAAATAGCTGAGTTGGTAAAGTGGTTTCCTGGGCTGGAGAGATGTCTCAGAGGTTAAGAGCATTGCCTGCTCTTCCAAAGGTCCTGAGTTCAATTCCCAGCAACCACATGGTGGCTCACAACCATCTGTAACGAGGTCTGGTGCCCTCTTCTGGCCTGCAGGCATACACACAGACAGAATATTGTATACATGATAGATAAATAAATAAATAAATATATTAAAAAATAAAGTGGTTTCCTTGCCAGCAAAGAGATCTGCATTTGATTCCCAGAGCCCACACATAAAAAGCTGTGACTCACCCACAGAGATACCCCTGAACTCGCTAATACTTTACTCAGGTATACAGGTGGAAGCAACCCACTGGGGAGCAGCCCTCGCCAGAGAAATGCACAGTGAGGCAACTGAGTCTCACAAGAACTCGACCCACTGAGCACATGAGCATACGCTAGGAAGAGGGACATAGTATGAGTTGCACTCACACAGGGATTACCCAAGGTGAGCACGTTGAGGCTCCTCGCTGCTTCAACAAGAGTAAGAAGAAAGGGAAGAGCTTCGAAGGCAGGAAAGAAATCTCTTCCTTCTTTAGGGTCTCCCAAGCTCCATCTATTCGCAAAGCTTTAACAATGTCCCAGTTGACCAGGAGTGTGTGTTTTCAGTGGCCAGCTCAGGAGCTACAAAGGAAAATAAGGAGTGACTCTAAACTCTGAGAGTAAATGAACAACAGTGCACTCCTGTGGGAGAACCGGCTTTCACAAAATGTCCTCTGACTGTCACTTGAATGCTTTGGCAACCGTGCCACCTACATACACCCAAAATTAATTAATCAATCAGCCAATTTTTGGCTATAAGAATATTTGGAATTATTCCAAATGTCATCTTTTGTGTTTTCAGTGGCAGACACAAGGTGCCCTTTAAAACCAAGCCTGCCAAATTAGTAGGTTTGGGGATAAAAACTCTATTTTTTTAACTTTTCCCCACATCTAAAACTAGATCATAAAAATGTGACAGAAGAGAAAATTCAAAATAACTAAAAAAACTGCAAAAAATTAAATATTTTACTGCAAATTCAAAATAATACTGCAGCAAGAGCCACAAGGAATTACATGTGTTTATAAATCTGATTCTTCTAGAGCGTTGCCATCTCATATCCCTTGTGTTTGGAGGAATCTGATTTCACCCATAGCAAAGAGTTCTTAATGCCAAGAAAGAGCAACCACCTACACCGTGAGCTGAATTTCTCTTTCCTGGCAATAGGTGAACGCACTGGGGCAACAACCAGGTAAAAATTGAAGGTCTGGGAACAGCGCAGAAGCCAAGGGAATGATGAAAGGGTATTTTACTAACATAAATGTTTTTAGAGAATCTTGCTCCTTTTTAATAGCAATTAAAATCTCATTTTAAGATATTACACTGACTCTTGCAGCCTTAATAGCCTCCGAAGAGCACATTACCTTTACAAGAAATTATCTGGGAGCTTTGGAGCTCCATAAGCAGAGGACTTACTGATCCTGCTATATTAAGCCCTGCCCAAAGTGCCCTTACCATGCATGTGGCTCAAAATGGCTCATTTTGCAGTTAACACTGGGATAAAATCCATTATGAAATTTCTTGTTTGAACACAAAATCTAACCTAAAGACCCTGAGCCGTTTTTTTTTTTTTTTAAGTTGGGGAGAAACCAATTTAAAAACTGAAATGATACAACCTTTCATCCAACAGGGCAGTGTTTTCAACCTTGTCAGTTTTATCCATGTAGTTCTTCCTAAGCCCGTGACTCTGTACCCGATTTCACCATAATGCTCTTGGCCCACCATTGATTGAGTCGGACTCAGCCAATTATGTGTTTCACACCTTCCCGTGTCCTTCCCTAGCATGTGGACAACATTTTTACACCAGACTCTCACACAGGTCCCATTGAACTTCTTTAGGGATGGTACTTCCCAGCCAGCTAGCTCAGCCTTTGGACTTTGACGTTTTCTGGAGTTTGTTTCTTGAAAGCAGTGCTTTGAGTCCATTTCATAAAGACTGAAGACAAAAGTAAGAGAAAAGGCATGTTGGCCAAGAAAGGAGAACCGATTGCACTTCTGGGATGAAAATTCCAATCAGGCTTTTTTCACCAATGCAAGTTTTTGCATGAAGTGAATCTTAACTTTAAAACAAGGAAAAGGGAAGTTCAACAGATAGGTAATTTTTTGCTATAAAACACCCACAAAATTGAACAGATAACAAAATAAAAAGAAACATAATTTATTTTGTTTGTGGACTTTCTATTTTATGCATTGTTTCTTAAGCATAATATGTCCCATATT